CAACGGAGCTGATCCAGATTTGCTGAGAACTTGACGTCATTACTGAAATGGGCTGGCTTTACATTGAACTCCTGGCAACGTCCCGCCCCCCTCTCAACCTATCTTCCCCATATACAGTTGACTATGAGCTGTATCAGAAACACTGTGCAACGTGTTTTGGAAGTAATATGTTCTGTGTTTACATTAGCAAGCATCGCTAACTCTCAGAGATGTATGTTTAAATAAGCCGGATATAAAAGCTACTGTCCTTGTGGTAAACCCGCGATAGAGAAAGCGCTAGAGCTCCATACTGCTTCAGAAATAATGCTTGATGTGGTTTGGAACATAATATGGCGTTTAATCACGGCTTCCATGCAGACTCTCTACAGCAGCTCGGTTACATTTAAAGGGCCAGACTCAGAATCAGCACTTTAGTAACAGTGCTGAAATAGAGGGGTGTGAGGCATGCTACAATGGGTGATCTGTTTGGTAATTTGAGCAAAACACTTCAGATACATGTTTTGTATAGATATGGCCCTATAATATATTGTTCAAATATAGCATAATAGGTGACTTTTAAATATAGTACACTGTGTTTATATGTCTGGTAGATTAGCATATTAGAGAGTATTCTAATGTATTTTGTATATTTTAAAGTGTTTGGATACTCCTCTGAATGTGTGTTTCTTACTGAGAATATTTTTTTACATTTTATTTTGTTATGTTTATCTTTATTTGATTTGTATTATATTCTATTTTTAAGAAATGTTGTAATTCTTGTAGATTGACTGTCAAAATTCTGCTGTGACAAAACAATCTCCCAACCTGGGATAAATAAAGTATCTTAGTCATGTCACCAAGTGTCTGAGAGTGTCAGGCGACACAGATTTGAAGTGGTTTACATCGGAATCATCATGTTACCATGGCAATGTCAAAATCTGTTATGCACACTTTTGGTTTAGAGACTTTTTTGACCTTTTTATACCTTTTTCAAGGACCATTTATATTGCAGGCTCTTTACAAGGTGAAGAGGTTGAATATTACATCTACACATTTTTGCGAAAACAGCAATTTAGTATAAAATACTTTAGCTTATGCTTGGATTCCCCTCATTTCATTTCTTATGTAGCATCTTAAATCATTAATGTTTCCGTGTGAATTAAAAATGCCATGCTAAACTTTTTGTGCAAATCGTCCTTGTTTATGATTTTTTAAATGCTTCCCCTGCCAACTCCCTCATCCAAAGTCAGCAGAAATGTTTAAGAAAGTTCAGAAAGCACTCAAAATGTCTGCGAGAGAACCGCACTGTGTGACCCTTAGGATTTACTGGGAACTCTCCGTTAGTTTTTCAGTGTGGAGATTTAGGATGATGTATATAACTTTCTGCTCTGAAAATCACACACCTGCACACTGATTGGCTGCTTTTAAACTGAATCAGAGCCAAAATCAGGTTTACTGCCTAGCAGGCAGTGGTGTAAAGTAACTAAGTAGACTTACTCAAGTACTGTAGGTAAACTGAATGTGTACTTTACTTGAGTATTTAGATTTTGTGTTGCTTTGTACTTCTACACCACTACAAACTCAGAGGTAAATTGTGTACTTTTACTCCACTAAATGTATTTAATACCTTTAGTTACTTTGCAGATTTGGATGAATGATGTGAAATATAATCAAGTCTTAAATCATACTTTAATTCCACCTGGAGTAAATTCACAAGCTACCCTGCAGTATACAAAGTCATTCAAACTAGCTGCACCTTTACCAGCTTTGAGAACACTTTAATTATCAATCATTATAAAACATATCATATATATTATTCTGAAATTGACCAATCTGCACAATGACTACTTTTACTTTTGGTACTTGGTACTAAGTATATTTTGATGCTGGACTTTTACTTGTAACAGAGTACTCCTACACTCGGGTACTTCTACTTTTACTCAAGTACAACATCTGAGTACTTCTTCCACCACTGCAAGTAGGTTAACACATACATACAAGCAATTTGATGCAAGACAATGCAAGAAATACAATACACAGCAAAGTCAATCCAGTGAGACTATGACAGTAGAAGGAGCTCCAGGTGACAGAACGTACCTTGGCGCAGGCGGAGCACTGCTGGGAGACGTTCCCGTGAGGAGTGTTGTTGCCTGACATGTTTTTTCCTTTCGACTTACTGTCACCGCTTCCCTGCTGATAGGGGGAGGCACACAAATGTAATCAATGTAATCATCACACAGGCTGCATTGATTTGCAAACATGGCACAGTGCTATGTGTTCAAATCTGCATCAACAAGCATCTGTTGCAAACAAAGTGAACACAAGTGTGACATTAATGTGAAATGAGACTACGTGGCAGCGCATCCAGAAAACATCTCAGCAGCACGCTCCTGACAGACGAATAAGAACAAAGGATTCATGCAGATGTGTTGTGCATTGTCTTGTAAATATTACAAGGCATTAATGAGTCCTGCAGCTGTTGTCACACTGCTTCTTTTTGAGGAATATTTCCTCTTTAAACATGGTTTGGCCTACTTTGTCTCCTAAATTTTTCTTCAACAAGATGCTGAGAACCGTGGAATAAGGTGATTGTTAGAATTAATCACAGGTCAGTGCTGCTGCAGTTCCCGGCTCGCTGCAGCTGAGTCGGGCAGCTTGTGCATGGCTGGGCGCAGAGAATAACAGGTGACAGGCGCCCGGGGGGCTGAGTGGGTGGGGTGCACTCACAGTTCTCTGACGCTGTTGCTCTTTGAGCTTCTTCCTCAGTCTGAAGAACTCCTTGTGCTGCCGTGAAACAAAATTAACGGCCGCATACTCCAGCAGCGCGGCAAACACGAAGAGAAGGCACACCGCCATCCAGATGTCTATGGCTTTCACATAGGACACCTGTGACACAGAGCAGAGGAGTCATTAGATAACATGAGCACTCATGCCATGTTAGGCAGTGACATGAAAGACATGGGATAACAAACTCTGTGGAAAGAGCTAAATGTTGGATCACCTTGTTATCATTGGTTTAACAAAGAGGTGGAAGGGCTTTTACATAACTACATTTGAAAAACTGTTCTGTAAAAACCAAAAAATATGTAAAACTATTTTTTTCCACAAGTCCACAAGATTTGACTATTATTAATAACATGTATTATTATCATTGATGCATCTAAATGGGAACTGCGGTAATTCATGTTGTAATACTATAATCTGTGGCAATGTTTCATATTTTATTAGGAAAAGTAACTAGTAGCTATAGATGTAAAATACATGCAGTACAGTATAAAAATCCCCACGTTTGTATCATTGATAATACAAAGATTGAAATACACTTATCCATATACATTTTAATTTATAAAATGTTGATTGAATATTACCATTTAATGTGTCTCTATAAAATGAAAACAACTGCTGCAGAAACATATGATAAGCATATGTATAAAATGCTGCAAATCATTATTGATGTAGGTCTTACTGTAAAGCCCTACATAAAGCTGGACACCTTAATAATCCATATAAAAGAATATTTTATTAGTCTGAATAGAAGTTTTGATATTTAAAGTACAGTTTAGAGTACAATCATAAATATTGATACATTGTGCCCAATGCTTTTACTTGTAATGGAGTAGTTTTAAATGATGGCATTGGGACTCATTTTAAAAAGAAATGGAAATAACATATTGAATTCCTAGTTTGAGAATGAATTGTTAAAAGAAACCTGGGCGTCAAAGACTGTTACAATAATTTGTAAAGTTGAAACATGTACAGTGCTGAAAAACACTTCTTCCGGATATCATCCCAGCCTACAGTATATAACATACAGTGAGTAACTTGCTTTGGTTTGTACTGTGAGATGTTGGATAGCTAACCCTCTGACCTTTGGCAGGGAGGCCCTGGAGCCAGAGCTCTGCGTCGTCATGGTGAGCACCGTGGTGATCCCCAGTCCCACCCTGGCCGGAGCCGCGTCCATGTTGATCCAGAAGGACACCCAGGATAGGATGACGGTGAGCAGGCTGGGGATGTACATCTGGATCAGGTAGTAGCCCATCTGCCGCTCCAGGTAGAATTTGACCTCAATACAGGTGAATTTACCTAACCACAGGGGGAGATACAGGTGCACACTGACAGTCTTATTAGAAGTAGATTTACAGAGCTGATGGAGGATGTTGCCCCGCAGGTGGTCACGTGTCCTGTACCTGTGTTGTAGTGCTTGGTGCAATAGCCCAGGCCTTTCTCCTCCTTCAGCACAAACTGAGGGAGGGTCAGGTCGTCGGCCACCTGCACGGCCCCCACATCCAGCCACTCGAAAATCAGATCGTTCATGGTGTAGCCGACTGCAGGAGCACAGAGGGAGGGGAGGCCGGTGGTTATCCATCATTCAAACTTCAATTCCCTGGTTAGGGAGGCTGTGAGGATTTAAATTGTTTCATACTATAATATAGCTGCAAGTACTTTTCTAGCTTTTTTCTAACTTTTTATTTTAGTTGTCCAGAAATGTTTTGATTTTCTTGCAAAAATTCCGATGTGATATATCTCTTATGCGCCTCTATTTGGTATTTATGACATTAATATGTTTCACTTTTTAAAATGTATTTCTGAGATACTTCCAGATGAAGGGCAGTTTAGAATCTACTTTAAAGGTCAGTTCTTACCAAACACATCTATCATCCTCCTACAAATAATATTCCATCACAAATAAATACACACCAAACTAAAATAACATTTCCTGTCTTTTCTTTTATATGTATTATTATCTTTACTGTGTTTATTATATATTGCTCTAATATTTTTTGCAATATTAAAGAAGTATGAAGTCAATACTTTTTTATTATTATTCTTGCACTGTATATTATTTATAATTTGATATGTTTTGGGTATTTTCAAATGATGCATATACACTTTAATTTAAAGGAGACCTATCATGCTATATTTGAATAATATATTGTAGGGCCATACCTATACAAGGTATATTTATACATTTTTTTTTTTCAAAATACCAAACAGATCATGCATTTTAGCCATGCCTCATTTTGCTCATTTTCCTCTCCTCCATCCTGTCTTTGCATTTGCTGCAGCTGACCACGCCCCCCTGCAAAGGAGGGGGCCGAGTTACGAGCGTCATGTTACCATGCTGTTACCATGCTGTTACCATGCCAGGCAACCTCTCATTCCCCTGATTGGTGGAGAGTTGGCCATATAGGCGGAGCTCCTCGTCAATGTCACACTATTTTCAAATCTGGATCAGTCTGTATCAGATCCGTTGCAGCCCCGTTTTTAGAGATTTGGGTATGGAGGAAAAGAGAGAGGGTTGTGTTTTCTGACACTTGGTGGGTTCCCTGACACACCGGGGACACATATTCATGTATAAAAGACGTACAAAGGTTCATTTTGCATGATAGGTCCCCTTTAAGGTTTTCAGAGTGTATTGGAAAGATCCACTCACAGCTCTCCAGCTGCATCGTGCACTTCTGGCTGTCCATGGGGAAGTTTTTCAGATCCATGGGACAGGAAAGGACAAGTGTCAGCCTGGAAAAGAGAAACAGCAACACAGGAATGGCAGTGGGATGGAGTGTAAAATGAAAAGGTGATGCCCTCTACAAACACCCAGCTAGCCCACAGCAGTAAACCCACAGCAGCAGCCGCCTCCTGCCCATCTGTCACTCAAACTCTTTCCGCAGGCTCACACTACCCTCGAGTCACAGGAAGCCACTCTGACTGTCCTCCTCTCCATTTTTCTACTCCACTGCACCCTGCATTAACCACACAAAGCCTAAGAGGTGCTGACAGGCAGATGCCAGCCTTTACGGAGAGTAAAATGTATGAGAAACATAGCAGCACAATCAGAGGAAAGGGTTTCATTCAAAGTACGGAAGCCTTTTTTTTATGTGATCCAAAATTGTTTCTCTCTTGGCTAAAGAACGGGGTGGAATAGTATTTTTGCCATGGACAATGTTACTTTTTTTTTCTGTTACGTTTTCTAGTTTTGGACCAAAGAGGCTAAAGTGCACAACTACTTCATGTTCTAAATAGTTGTGTTGTTTTCCAAGTGAGTTTGAATTTCTACCTCCTCTTAAATTCTCCCTCACCCAATACCATCAATGAGCAGGTTATAACAACACTTTTATTCAAGAGTATAACAACAAATGTCACTATCAGCAGATTTTTCTCACTGGCCTTTCAAGGCTTCCGTACTCAAGACATATCAAATCTGAAAAAGGACCCTTTTCATAGATAGAGGGGCGGGCAAGGTCTCACAAACATGAGCGATAGGAGCAACTCTGCAAAGAAGAGGAATTCATCTGTAGATATAGGGGCTGGCCTAATGTGAATAAATGGGTAAAGGCAGAACTTTTTATCCATTTTCAAACTTTATGACCCTGTTGTATTATGGGAGGTTGTTCCAGGTTGATACCCTGCACCCAGTCGTCCCTTTTGAAGTTCAGTTAGGGAAGCTATTGTTTCTTTAGTTTCCCAGGGTTGCTAATAGAGCTTTACACATGTCACTGCTTCATCTTTCTTCTATTCTAATGAACTCCATTACGCTACAATTCACCACTGCTTTAGTGCCACATTATGACCCAACTCTGTTTTAGCCCGCAGTTATTATTCACAGTGGGTGCTGGTCAACACAATGATAGCTGAGCTGAACTGGAGTGAAACAAACGTGTTGTTGGAATATCCTCAGAGGCTCGAGACTACAACTTCATGTTCTGTCGACGACCTTAAAAAGCCATGGAGCTGGGTTTGTAGAGCCAGATAGAGGAACACATCCTTGTGCATTATAAACTCAGAGAGGATTTATAGATCATTAAAAGCAGATCACCTGATGCTGTAGAGGACGTTTCCGTTGGAGAATATCCTGAGCAGTTTGTTGTCTGTTGTGACCTCATGGAAGTTAGCTCCCTTTTCATTTGCAAAGAACAGGTCAGGCTTCCAAATGGAGTCCAACATGGAGGGGTCCAGGTCCAGAGAGTCGTCCGGATATTCCTTATAGGCCAGCCGGGGGTCATTCCACTGCTGTCGCAGAAACACATTGAGCCGGTAGTCCTGTATAGAATTGAAACATATTGAGGAATTCATATTAAGAGTTATACATGACTGAAATAAAATATATAGCCATAGGTGGTTTAATTTTCTTGCCTTAGTAGAATCATATTGACATTTTAAAAGGTAAATCATGTTATGCATTGTTTAATTCATTATGTATTGTAATTTAGTTGGACCATGTTATTCTATTTTACATATTTTAAATGAATCACTTGTATTTAAATTGTACCATTGTATTACATTTTATTGTTATTTAATCAATATAGCTTTTATTTTACAGTGTTTTACCTTTAACGGTCCACATTATTTTTCTGCTTGTCAGTCATCTGCAAAGCAAATTGCACTGCACTAACCTGTACGAAAGGTTCTAAACAAATAAAGTTTGAATTATTGATTGACGGCATTTCAAAAAATATTTTTTTCAAACAAAATGCTAAAAAAACTGAAAACACAACACAATTCAGAATCAACCTTGCTGAACGTCCTGTGGCACCACATGCCATGGATAACTGCTTCCAGCTGACACACTGAGAGTATACATCAGGAATTGAAGAGGCCCTATTGTGCATTTAGGGTCTTCGCTTTCCTGTAGTGTGTTTTATAGGTTTTTCTGCATGTAAATGGTCTGCAGATGCTAAAATGTGCAGACCAGTGTGTTTCTCCCCCACACACTGAAATGCCTCTAATCATCTCTCTAAGAGGTTGACCAATCACAATAGAGCCGTCCAGCTAACCAATCAGAGCAGACTGGGCTCTGGTTTCAGACAGAGGGTGAAAAGAGGTGCTGCAGCACAGGCAGTATGAGAAAAGTAAAGAGCTTTCTGAACATTAAAGCATGGAGTCATGTCACAGTAGAGGCACTACATACTGATATGAACTTACAAATGAGTATTATAGATGCCCCTTGAACCTAGTTAGCCCTGTGCATCACTTTTTACTGTGCCCTGGTTGCCATAAGGTTATGTTTTCTGTATTTGCAGCTTGCGCTAGTGAATAATTTTCTCTTGCTTGTCAGTTTGCATAACTGTCTGCCTCTAAGTATTTTTTTTGGGGGGGGGGTAAGATCATGTACACTGGAACAAGTCTCAAGCCACAACAAATGAACCTGCAGCGCATGGCGCGCGCTCTCAAACTCTGTCTGCGCAAAGATAAATAAATGAATGCTGACAAACAGACTTGAGTGCCCATAACCTGAATGACAGAAAACCCCACTTACAATTTCATTAATTAAAATATGATGACTGTGCCTCGAGGTATTTTTGCAAAAAGGATGTAAGGGAGTAAAAAACAAGACCAGCTCTCACTAAACCCACTCTTGAAAACAGGATTTGTCCTTACCCGACAGACGGAGGGATAAGAACATAGCTGGCATTTTGTAATGAACGTACAAGATGGTGTTAAAGCCATACATTACTCATCATCTAATGACACTATGTGTAGGCATCATTAAACCTGTTCCAAAGCGAAGAAGAGCCAGACAATAAAAAAGGATCTGATAAATGGGCAGGCTTGTATTGTTACAAAATCAACAATAAATGATGATAGATTAAGGTATAGAGCAGTTTGTAGAGTAGGTTAAAATAGAATTGTCTCTGCATTATAATAGTGATTTTTACACTTGCATGTTTAAAATATCATTCTCAAATTGGCCGTACTGCACTCATGTGTATGTACTTTTTTAAATTTCTATTCAAAGAGTAGCAACGAAGAAAACCTCTGTACTTTGTCCCCCATAGTTTTAACATGATTCTTACCCACATAAATCTGTGGCACATAATTCACACAGCCTCTGACATACGGACGATAAAATGACTGAAACTGACTGCAACAGCATCACTTTTAACCGTTATTCCTGTAAAGGTCCTGACAGGAAACTGTTTAAATATTGTATTGCCCCCGCTCTGCCATATTTAGAATCATTTGAAAGAACAACAGGTCAACATCGTCTATCGCTGACAGACTAGAGGTACTGTAAGCCCATAGAATGTTGACTTTAACATCCTCTTCTACGCACTAGTCCAATATTGTGATATTGGCTATTTTGCCTCCATAACGTATCTTCTTTTTAAAGGGGCCCTATTATATATTTTTAGTTCTCCCACACACCCCCCGTCCAGCCTGAAATGCCTCAATTGGAGTCCTTACATCTGTAACATAGTGACATCATAACAATTGCACTTCAACAGAGTGGTGCAGGGGTGACGTATTTACCCGGAAATAAACTGTGCATGGGTTCCCTCGACAAAAAAGCAATGGGATTTCTCCATAGGATTTTGGAAAATAGCTTGAAATAAGGACTGTGGAAAACCAACCTGTTTGATGAATGCACGTTTTGTTCAGCCGGATAATATCCACATGTCTACCCTACTTTTATAATTGTTCTAATCATAAATCTAAATCGCCAGAAGCAAAAATGCTAATGTTATGCTATAAACGAACTACAGCCGAGTACAGCAGCGTCGCTGCTTCAACGTCACGTTACGTCAACATCAAGATCCATATTCAAAAATACAGATTCTAAATTGGACAAGTTGAAGCGTTTGTTTTAAACGGTTTGCAAGAGCGCAGGTACTTGCTTTCAAGCAGAACAGGGAAACAAACTTAGCGGGAGTGTTTACGTGTTCGGCGTAATGATGTGCAACGGCCTCGACAACTTCTGTAGTCCTATTCAGCCACTTGTTAACAACCATCGTTTTTCAGATACAAACTCTGCTGATGTATTTAATGTCGTAGAACAAAACGTGATCCGTCTCTTAAATGTGTGTCAACCACAGACCTTATTTCCAGCTATTTTCCAGAATCCTATGGAGAAATCCCATTGACTCTGAGACGAGGGAACCCGTAGTGGTAAAATCCTAACTCCCTTCCGGGTTTTAGGACTCATCACTGCACAGTGGTGCAGTGATGAGTCCTAAAACCCGGAAGGGAGTTAGGATTTTACCACTACGGGTTCCCTCGTCTCAGAGTCAATGGGATTTCTCCATAGGATTCTGGAANCGGAAAACAAATATGTGTGGATCAAAAATCCATATGTAAAACTTTTTTCTGTGTTTGGATTTTATTTACATGTACAGTGGGGCAAAAAAGTATTTAGTCAGCCCCCAATTGTGCAAGTTCTCCCACTTAAAAAGAGAGAGGCCTGTAATTTTCATCCTAGGTATACCTCAACTATGAGAGACAGAATGAGAAGAAAAAAAATACCAGAAAATCACATTGTCTGATTTTTAAAGAATTTATTTGCAAATTATGGTGGAAAATAAGTATTTGGTCAATAACAAAAGTTAAATCTCAATACTTTGTTATATACACTTTGTTGGCAATGACAGAGGCCAAACGTTTTCTGGAAGTCTTCACAAGGTTTTCACACACTGTTGCTGGTATTTTGGCCCATTCCTCCATGCAGATCTCCTCTAGAGCAGTGATGTTTTGGGGCTGTCGCTGGGCAACACGGACTTTCAACTCCCTCCAAAGATTTTCTATGGGGTTGAGATCTGGAGACTGGCTAGGCCACTCGTTGCCCGGGCGGTGTGTTTGGGATCATTGTCATGCTGAAAGACCCAGCCACGTTTCATCTTCAATGCCCTTGCTGATGGAAGGAGGTTGTCACTCAAAATCTCACGATACATGGCCCCATTCATTCTTTCCTTTACACGGATCAGTCGTCCTGGTCCCTTTGCAGAAAAACAGCCCCAAAGCATGATGTTTCCACCCCCATGTTTCACAGTAGGTATGGTGTTCTTTGGATGCAACTCAGCATTCTTTCTCCTCCAAACACGTCTAGTTGAGTTTTTCCAAAAAGTTCTATTTTGGTTTCATCTGACCATATGACATTCTCCCAATCCTCTTCTGGATCATCTAAATGCTCTCTAGCAAACTTCAGACGGGCCTGGAAATGTACTGGCTTAAGCAGGGGGACACGTCTGGCACTGCAGGATTTGAGTCCCTGGCGGCGTAGTGTGTTACTGATGGTAGCCTTTGTTACTTTGCTCACCGTTCTTGTGATCATTTTGACCCCACGGGGTGTGATCTTGCGTGGAGCCCCAGATCGAGGGAGATTATCAGTGGTCTTGTATGTCTTCCATTTTCTAATAATTGCTCCCACAGTTGATTTCTTCACAACAAGCTGCTTACCTATTGCAGATTCAGTATTCCCAGCCTGGTGCAGGTCTACAATTTTGTTTCTGGTGTCCTTTGACAGCTCTTTGGTCTTGGCCATAGTGGAGTTTGGAGTGTGACTGTTTGAGGTTGTGGACAGGTGTCTTTTATACTGATAACGAGTTCAAACAGGTGCCATTAATACAGTTAACAAGTGGAGGACAGAGGAGACTCTTAAAGAAGAAGTTACAGGTCTGTGAGAGCCAGACATCTTGTTTGTTTGTAGGTGACCAAATACTTATTTTCCACCATAATTGGCAAATAAATTCTTTAAAGATCAGACAATGTGATTTTCTGGATTTTTTTTTTTTCTCATTTTGTCTCTCATAGTTGAGGTATACCTAGGATGAAAATTACAGGCCTCTCATCTTTTTAAGTGGGAGAACTTCCACAATTGGTGACTGACTAAATACTTTTTTGCCCCACTGTAAGGGCAGGAATTCAGAGGTGAAAGGAGCCGTTTTGAGCTCTGCTACTAAAAACTGCTTTTTTAAACGTCAAACGCGTCATATTACAACTTTCTCGGACTCGTTCTCTGCCCAATCCGCGGTAGTAGTTTGTAGTGGTTGTGATTTAGTGAGCTCGTATTTTTTCGGTAATTTTACATTGCATTTCACCATTTGTAATCATAGTGAGCTGGAGTTTGTGCAGGTTGCACAAACTCCAGCCTGTCAGGGCATCGAGTCCACAGTTTCCCTAACAGGAAAAGGACCGAGCTAGCTTTCACTCCTGGGTGCACATACTCTCCACAGCTGAAGCCTATCAAACAAAACGTTTATCAGGAAACCGTATTACATTTTTTTTATGCGGAACTAAAAATGTCTTACAAAAACGACGCCAGATGTCACTGTCGTGTATATTTTTTGAAAATCTAGTGTATGCATCATTTTCCTACACATGTATTCACTGGGGGCTCTAACCTCATCATTTATCACCAATTTCACATTTCACTGTTTTGACAGTTTTAAATCTAAAAGTTTCTTTCTTTCTTTTAAACTTCAGCAGAACTATTTTAACAGAAGTTTGCACAATCATTTTTTTTTTTATTAGAAAAAGTAGCATGTTTAGCTCATGTGTCAACTCCTAGTGGCTCCATCTCAGAATGAGTCAGCCGTCTGAAGGCACCGGTTTACAGTCAGACTCACAAATTGAGACGTTTCTGAGTGTAGCTAGAAAAAAAAAAAAATGAAACTGAAACCCAAACAGCTTTCAGTAGATTCTGCATTGTTGGAGGACAAAGTCACTGCAACCCCCAACAAATCGTTCTCGGCCATAACTTAAGATCACATATGCTTATTGTAAGACTTTCCGACAAATACCAAATAGGATAAATGATGAAGGGAGGATATTTTTGGATTATGGAGCCTTTTAAAAAAACAAAAACTGCAACTTGGAGAATGCTTCTTGATCTGAAATCTTTGATTTAACTTCTTCATCAATATGTTTCCCAATGTCCTTTTCTCTCAGGAGCGACCTTGGGCCTGATGTGGGCTACGAGGCCATTGGGATAGTTGATAGCAGCCTACCAACAGTAGGAGTGTTTGCAAAAGCCACTGCCAAGGATACACCTAGAGCTGCCACAGAGCTATCAGGTATTTCAGAATTATTGATCAAATATAAAAAAACTGAATTTGAGGAACCATGCTAAGATTAAGGTTTACCCATTTAATGTATGACAGGAACTGGAATCCGGTCAGAGAGTGAGACAGAAGACACAGCCACCAGCCCAGTGGCCTCCCCCACGCCCGCTCCCTCTGGATCCCACAAAGACGAGTACGGAAAGGGAGTCATCTTCTACCTGAGGGACAAGGTGGTGGTGGGAATCATCCTGTGGAACGTGTTCAACAGGATGCCCATCGCTAGGAAGGTACGTCACTGTTAGAAAAATGCTTTGTGTCTTATAAGGATTCAAAATCTTGTTTTGGTTCTGCAAATCGGCCAAAATCAGCAACCTAATTTGTCTATAGTCGCCTTTTAAAAATATATATACTGCTTCTTTTTTTACCATGTTGTACGTACAGTATCTGCTATTTGTTTTTTAATTGTGAGATACTTGTAAGATACTTATCTTTTTTAAGTCTTTTCTCTTAACTTTTTCTGCACTAAACTTCTGCCGTTGTAATAATATACATTTCCCCCTTGCGGGACAAACAAAGGAATTCTGATTCTGATTGTGTTCTGTAAATCTTTTTTTAGATCATCAAGGACGGAGAGGAACACTCAGATCTGAACGAAGTTGCCAAACTGTTCAACATCCACGACGATTAAGATGGCCGCCACTTATGAAAGCAGGGAGAGTTACGTTTCATGTTAAAACTGAACTTTGGCAGGCATTGCCTGCCTCACTCTTGAAGACACAACCGATCACACAAGAAAAAACAACAGAATTCATGTAAATGATGTCATGTCGCTGAAATGTGTTTCATAAATGGGAATTTCTGTGTTTCACCTGTTTACGCTTCTTTTTCTATCCAGGAAAAATCATTGTCTTCTTTTCCACCCAAAACCTTTGCTCATGTTTAGAAAAAAACAAGATGTGATGTGCCAGTAGTGTCATACCAGTTTGCACAAATGCTGAGCGTGGAATATTGTTTTTCTGTGTGTGATCAGAGCAGCTCGTCGTGAGAGAAGCTGCAATAAAGGCTATTTTTAAATTGGAGTGAACCCATTATTGTTATTTTGCTCGCAGATAGTAACTCTGATGACGGATCAGTTGAAGGGCATTCTGCGCTCTGTGTGCTTGAGCTCATCTGTCCTCGAGCATTTTCATCATTGCGAGCTGTTTGGAAAACTGACTTCAATCATTCATGTGACCTATAGTGATTGCACCATTTAACATGATTTAATGTTAAAGGTCTACTGTTGCCTCAGATAAGAGCACTGTACTCTAGCAGTTGTGTAAAGGGCACCTGACATGTATGTCTACATTTCACAGTTTATTTAATCAAGCAAATGTGCGCTCCAACAACTTGGCCTACTTATCCTGTCCGGAGGTAAAGATGTTCAAGCATGCAGCAACATTGCTGTTTTTTTTTTTGTTCTGCTGTGGGCTTCTTGTTATTAGGATTGCATTCATGTTGGCATCCCCACACATTTCTTATCCTTTTTGACACTTTGGTGTGGTGAACAGCGTTTCAAGTGTGAGGCGGAACACGTGCAGCCATAATGTCCCATCGCCCATCTTTGACGTTAATTTTTTATGAGTAAATGGATGAACTGCCTCCCCCTCTGTACGGAGGAATAAACATGAGCTTCCACATTTGTATTTGAATTTGCCTGGCGATCTGAGGAGGAAATAATTAGACGGGGAAACATGGGACAGTTCTGCTTAACATAAATAACCTCTGGATGTTAGCTGACACTTAAAGGAACGTCTTACACTTGAGTTAGTCGATATATATATAAATATATATATATATATATATATATATATATATATATATAAATGTCATATTTATCATATATTTAATGCAACGACAATCTGGCTTTACACTTTGCTGCTTTTTCTCTGAATATGTCCTAAATAGGAGGATGTGATTAAGCATGTTTTATAATTGTAGATTCTTTAGTCTTAATTTAAGTGATAAGATCTCTTCTGTAGACGAGTGCACCCTAAAGGACATTATATACCATGTTTTTTTAAGTGAAATGTAGAATTGACCTACATGTAAATCATTTTAAGGACAATAATCTATTTGGCAAGATGGAGATTAAACTTTTTTCTAGATTTAATGTATTAATCTCTTGCAGTGCTTTGTCATTACTCGGCAATTGTTGGACATTAGTTAAACAAGATATACATACAATAATGTTTTATTTAATCTTTAAATATTGTATTCTTATAAATTGTTGAATTCTAACGCAAAAAGTATTACTGCTAATCTGATGCCCTGGTGGGAGGGGGGGATGCTGGCCACTCTGGAAATGCTCCTGTCTCTTTAAATATTCTTGCAGTAATTCCTTGAACATGCACATGGCCATGAAAAAGAGATAAAGCTTGAAGACATCCACACAAACCCAGGCTTTGTGAATAATACAGCAGCTGCTTCCTGTGTTTTACACCTGCAGATAGGGAGGAGGAGGAGAGAACACACAGTCACTCTAATGAGCAACAACAAGTCCTCGGCTCTCATCTTCCCTCCATCGCTCCTACAGCTGTTCTTTCTACCAACTTAAAATGCTGTTGCACATCTGGTGTATAGTTTGGGCTTCTTCTCTCATTCTTCTGCACAGCAGGTAAGATACTTTGTTAACCTTGCTAAACTTATTTGTTGGTGAAAGCTGTATGCATTGTAATCAGCTGTTGGAATGTTAATACATGGGGGTGTGCTGCATTTTAAATGCTTTGACATTGACAGGTATATAACTAAAAATAATAAGGAATAAGATGTTATCGTTAAATTGAGATGCATTAAATATGTTTTGATTTTAAATACAAAGACTACAAAATGTTGATTATTGTGAGATGCAGGAACATACTGAACAGCCAAAATAGATAATTCTTAGTTTTTAAGACGTGTGCTGAAGTCATTTCATAAATAATCTGACCATTTTAACTTTATCTGTCTATAATTATGCTAAAATATTGAAATCATAAATATATTTTTTAATAGTATACAGTTTATTACAAATGTATTAACAGTTGAAAAAAACATGTTTTGTAACTAATGCAGTTGTAATGCATGTGCTGTTCCAGCTAAAGTCACATTATTTAAATAACCATATTTAGCATCGTTTGTAGTTATAGTAAGGTATATTTCCAAAGGTAACATTTGAGTTATATAATATGATTTACCCCAAACAAGATTTAGTACTTGTAATCAATTTTGAGTTTTTTATATTATAAGTGTGTTATAAATCAAATGTATGATTATGAGCATATCCAGATTTACATTTTTTTATTTTTTTTATTTTAAGTAATGACATAAATAAAGAGCATAGGGGAAATAATCATGTATTAATGATAACAGTTTGTCCCGTCGTCCTGCAGGTCTGTGCTCTGTAAGGAGATGAAGCTCCCCAGCAGGGCAGCCAAGCCCCCCTCCCCGTCTGGCTTTCTGGACAAACTGATGGGACGCACATCTGGCTACGACGCCCGCATCAGACCCAACTTCAAAGGTAACGCTGTGTGGCGTGGGGGGCGGGACAGGACAGGTGTGGGGAAACAGTGATTTTGCGGTGCAATCTGGGCAGTGAAGTAGCACAAATCCTTCACAGATGGGCGGAAGTAAGAGGTGCTGCAGGCTTGTGTTTGTCATGTGTTGTTACTGTTTTCATTCTGACCCACAGCCGTAGGTGATGATTATTTTACACTGACTTCTTGTTGAGATTTGTCATAGATGTGCACTTCCCCTCATATGTTACCCCACAGGCCCATTTCAGTCCAATACAGATCCTCTCTGACATACTCCCCCCGCCCCCCCTCACTCTCTGGGGGTCACACATCATATTTTTTTCATACTTGCTCCACATCTTCGTCAGTGCATGGTGGAGAAAATCCCAGATGATTATCTATAAATACACTAATGTAACTAAAGGGGAATCAATAAATCATTGCCTCTGAAGGATGAGTCCCTAAAATATTAAAAGTTTTCGCTGGTCCACGGATACTACACTAATGGGAGCGTACTGGAGATGACAACACAATGTCATGCTGCTCCTCTTGGAAAGGTCTATTTATCAGGACACAACATGGCACATTATGAGCGAGCAGAGGAGAGAGATTTTGCCTGAAACATTCTGCTCCTCAGTTGGCCTCAATACTTCATGCGGTCTGCTCAGAAAAACATCAGGAGTGTTTTGGAAGAAATCACTGTGAGGGTAATGTGTGATGACAATCTGCTTCTGTCAGGTCCTCCTGTCAACGTCACCTGCAACATCTTCATCAACAGCTTCGGATCCATCACTGAAACAACCATGGTGAGGATTTTCTTTATCATACTTTTTATGGATAATATACTGGTGATGAAAATCTGCTTTTTCAACCAATGGATATCACCATAAAACTTCCCCACTCGCATCAAGAAAATTATATTGTATGACATGTTTCTGCACACATTGTTTAAAAATGCAAATGAGGCATTATCTTATTAATAGTAGAAATGAATACAAATTCAACATTGGATAAACCTAGGTTAAAAGTCTTGATTTTATTATAATCAAACATTTTTACAGAGGGAAAATGTGATATATCTATTATTACTATGAAGGATATATGACCAAGCCCCCCAGTAAAAACTTCCAAATCTAAAAAGGAATTGAACCAGTTAACGTTGTTGTATGTAAGTACTATTCAATTAAAGATTTCTGGCTTATACAAACAACTAATTTTGAGGGAAACAGATATGTAATGTAAAACTCAGGTAAAAGGGTAATACTAATATGTTTTCTCAAAGGCATTATTTACTGCTTACTTTGGGGAAAAAAAATCTGTAGAAGAAAACTACAGATGAAAATAGAGGACTGTGAAAACCTTAATGTGTATTTTGGATCTTTGTTTTAATTATTTAAAATGGCCCTATTATGCTCATTTTCTGGTTCATATTTGTATTTTGTGCCTCTACTGTGACATGTGTCCATGCTTTAAAGGGCCCATGTCATGCTTTTCTAGTTATTACCCCTCCCCTTGTGTGTTATGAAGGTTTTTATGCATGTAAACGTTCTGCAGAGACACAAACCCTCAAAGTACACCCTGTAGCGAGTAAAACTCTAATACAGAAAATACCTGTCTATGCTGCCCCAGAACACCTCGTTGGGGATTTCTCTTTTTCCATTGTTTAATTCTTGGGTATAGTGACGTATTTCGGGTATAGTGACGTAACGCAACGGCTCCGCAGATTGGTCCAAATAGACCTATCCGCGGAGCCGTTACGTTTGGACCAATCCGCTGACTTCCTCACACACACACACTCGGCGGGACATTGCGAGGCTCGCTGCTGCGAGGAGCGGGACACTGTGAGCTAGCTCATTGATGTGGGGTCGGTGAGACAGCGAAACACCGCGGAACTCAGACTGGGCACACACACAAACTCCCAGCCAGGCTGCGGGTGTGTGTGTGTGCCCATGCTGAGTTCCTCGCTGTCTCGCAGACGGCCACTGGGCTCACAGGGAGGGGGGGGCGGCAGGAGCTCAGATCAGCAATAATATATAGAAAATATAGATCCATAATGCAGTAAAAGGTCATGAAAATAAGAAAGAATGGATATATCGACAGCCCACGCCAACAACTATACCTACAGAGACGTGACTAAATATAGGAACCTACCACCAAGTATTAGCAACAAGAACATCAATAATCACAAATGATCATAGTCAATGATATCAATCTCCACAAAGTATAATCATATGTGTTTTGCACTAGGCGAGCGGCCCCCGAGAATTTACTTCACGAGTTGTGCTGGAATAAAGGTCGGATAAAGGATTAGGAGACGGCTCGTTTACGAGTAACTGAGACTTCTGCTCCCTTGGGCCAGGACTTCAGCTTAATCAGGGTAAATCAAATCCCTTGGAAGGATTGCCTCACTCACTGGGCCTTCAGGGGAGTCACGGCATCGGTACTATTCACGGGCGAAGTATAAGAGCCATCTTACTATCTTTCCTCAAAGTTTGAAGGAAATATTGGGAGGAAATCGAATCCCTGTGTGACCTGGAGGGATTGGCTTTCCTGCCCCCCCCCGCCGACTCGCTCTTTTACGACGGAGGGGGTGTTACGGAAAGTCGGCGTCGTAAACGGAGTGTGTTTGTGAGCGGCTAAGTGCCTTTGTATTGCTATAATACTGCCTCTTCGAGGAGAATATAGTACTTTCAAGTGACACGAAGTAATTCGGAAAAAATTTTGCCAACTCACACATTGAACGGTTTCACGGAAACAAAACTTGCAGTAGTCAGATAATATTAGTTTTTCTCTTTAATACTTGTAATCAAAAATGACTTTAACGAGTTTATTTCCAGTTGTTAAAGTGACTCTGACGACGACCTCAACAACAACAAGTCGGAATTTTCTACCAGACTCTTACCACTATATGTGTCCACTATGATACAATGTTCCTGATTGCTAAATATTAATTTATGTAAACATAATAAATTCTGATAAAGTATGTTAGTATGCATAACCCATAGTAACATAATTACACGCTGGCCTCGGCTCTCGTCACTGCTCGTATGTAAAGTGAAAGGAAAAAAATAAAGTTAATGTTGAAACCGTACTTCATTATACAAGAGACAAAAGAGGTGCAAGTATTTCGGGGTATTTCGTTGTCGGGTAGTCTCGTGCCAGTCTCAGAGATCGTACTCAAATGTTACATAAGGAGCAGAATATTTTGTAGGTACAATCAGGCAACATAATCTTGTTTACATCAAAGGTATCGAAAGGTGGTGTCGTCGGTCTGCGTGTGTTACGTGCACGGCGACCGACGGGTAGTACGTTTGTGCGAGCCTATCGACTTTCACGTAAGCCTACGAGATTCCATGGCGTGCAGAGAAGAGGATTCAGGAAACTAGAGGATAGTGATAGGGGTTGGGCACTGCACTAAGGAGTCTGCCCAGTTCCGTTATCGCTCTATACCGAATCATTAAATCTCGACTAAAAATTTGATACGGCTGGCGTTGGGTACATCACCGATCTATACGCATGAGGAAGGCGGCAAAATCCTGAGTCAGTGACGCTGGTGTAGATAACCGAATCCGACCAAGGTTGTCCGATTGACCCCGCCCTGTAGACGATTCGCGCAACTGTATTAGTGTTTTCTTCCCCGTGGTCGGATTGGTTAGTACCGTCTGACCCGGAGACCAAGTCTGTCTCCCATTTTCTCACGACGCGTAGTCTGTCATTAACTCGTTCTTATTTCTGGAACAAATTTGTAATTTGCACGCAGGGTACAGTACCGGTAAAGATGACTAGTATTAAGGTAAAACCCCAGATGATTTATGTAAATATGCACTTTAGAAGGTTTGAGTGTAACCAAAGAGCTATGTAGTTGCAGAAATTTCATACACGATAAGTGAGAAGGATTTNGTGTGAAAACCTTGTGAAGACTTCCAGAAAACGTTTGGCCTCTGTCATTGCCAACAAAGTGTATATAACAAAGTATTGAGATTAACTTTTGTTATTTACCAAATACTTATTTTCCACCATAATTTGCAAATAAATTCTTTAAAAATCAGAAAATGTGATTTTCTGGATTTTTTTTTCTCATTTTGTCTCTTATAGTTAGGATGAAAATTACAGGCCTCTCTCATCTTTTTAAGTGGGAGAACTTGCACAATTGGTGGTTGACTAAATACTTTTTTGCCCCACTGTATGTCTCGTAAAACATATCAAATCCTGCATTCACTTGTTTTAAATTGTAATTTTCAGGCAAGGTTAAGCATAAATGTAGTAAAACCTGCAAGTTTCTCTTTAACAAAAGACTTGCTGCGGTCATTCTGAGAGCCTGCCCTGCACACTAAATCAATATTAAAACCTATGGCTATTGAACATTTTTTGTAAACCTGTTTCAGTGCTGCTGTGCTAACACTTACGCTAAAGGCTTCAACTGGGTTTCCAAACCGTCTTCATCAAATTCAATGACTTTTCAGGCTTATTTCCCACAAATGTAAGGACCCAACACAGAAACGTTGTGACATGGATCAAGTTTGATTAAGGGTACAACACAGATTTCAGAAGCTCACAGAGAACACATAAAGAGAGAGGTTTGAATGTGTTGACACATTTCAATATGCTGCAGTGTTACTGTAGGGCAGATGATGGGCATTTTATGTTGTGCTAGGTTAGCAACAGAGACAGATAATACATAAGAACTTCAGTATGTTTTCTTTCACTAAAATATTCATCCATATAAAAAGGACAGTAAAGTTACAGACTTTGTTATAACAACAAGTTTAACCATTTAAAATGTATCTGAAATGTGTTGTATGTTCGTTTTCATATGTAGTACTTCACCGTCAATGTGTTTGATATTTAACGCAACGTTGGAGTCAATGGTGGTAAAAACTAAAACTCCCATGATCCCACACTTTTGACCCAAACTCTGGGTCCTCTTAAAAAAGGCAGACAATTCAAAACTGTGCATTTAAATAAACAAACAAACTGTGCACTTCTGCTGAATTAAAAAGGTGATGTGTGTGTGATACCCAGGAGGCATTTCAGCAGCCTCGTTCTACATATACATTTCACAGCCATTCAGAGGAACATCGACACATCATCTGACAATCTGCTGGTGCACAAGTCACTACTATTTGACTCATGGTCCTGTGTTTTCTTTGGGACTGCAGGGAACCCATGATGTCAGCAGTGTGTCATATTTCACCAGCTATTAAAAACATGCACTCATATCATTCATCCGTGTAGTCCGGGACATATTCCACACTGTACTTCAAGTTTTGGGATCTCCCCGAATATCTGGTAGGTGTTTTTTAAGAAAGATGGTACATTTAAGAGGCTGAGTAATGAAAAAAAAAACCTACTAATGTCCTCTAAAGGCGGTTTAAATATTTTAGAACTTAATGGTATTCAAGACTTGAAGGCAATCATGCATGTACATCTGACTTCTAAATGGATTTAATCTGAATCATTTGTAGAATTGTACATGCTGCCACAGTGGCCGCATGTGATGGATGTGGACCTGTGCATTTAACAATTCAGACTGAACCACGCTTTCTCCCTCATTTCCATTTAGAGCTGCTCTCATGGCTTGCAGCTACAGCTCTCGTATGCAAAATGCTTTGAATTTGAGACCCAGGATAACCTTGTGTTAGCATCAGTAGCAGGACATGGGGAGTAGCCCTCACTCACCAGAACATGGACTGATGCCAGTATGGTTTGTTGGCTCCGGTCATGTTCTCCCCTGCGAGCCTCCCGCTCACCACGGCGTGATCATGGTGCTCCACCCGTCTGCGGCCCAGTCTGATGTCGTAGAAGCACGCAGCATCTCCCGCCTGAATCCAGAGACAAAGGATTTAGGAGATGGACTCAAATATATAACTCTACTACTACAGAGGTGCATTGCTACCCAAGTCTGCCTGAAGGGGAAACTGTGATAAAAGATACGACTGAAAAACTCATATCTCGGGGACAATGAATTTGGTTTTTCCTATAAATATTTAAAATCTTTGATTTATTTAGTTTTTTTTCTTCAAACTCATTAAAAGTGTCTGATACAACAATCACTGTGTTTCTAGGAGTTTTTTTATGTATTATTATTTATTTTAATTTTATTTAATATTTTTTCTTTTCAACTCATTACCAGTGGGGAATCAAAAGCATTGCTGTGTTGAAATAAATGTTTGTCCTAAAAGCACACGACAAATACCATTTCTCATACTTGATCT